CCAAAATGTCTTATTGTTGATATAAATGCGATGTTTAATAATGCGAGCAAAGACCACTAGCATTTTTCGCATTTAATTCACGCTCGCGTTAATTTCACGTTTTACAGTATCTGATCGATACCAACAGTATAGAAATGTCTTAATAAGCATCGATAAACAACTGAAGGTCTATTGTGAACAGATGGTTGCAAGTAACTGATCCAAAGCAAACTATTGCCAGTGTGTGGAGCGTGTACATTACCAGCACGGGCTGAAAGAAACGTATGTGCAGATGTGGTATTTAAAGGGCTATTGACCAAGTTCACCGCTATTATATGTATATTATAACAGTGACGTCAATGTTTCTCCGGCGACAACGTGCCGGGCAGTGATGTATATAATGTGTATGTTTTTGTGAGTGATAGATGAGTATGTGGGTAGTGTTTGTATGTGATGTATGCGCACGTGATATTGAGTGGATGTGGTGAACTGCATGTGTGATTGAAAATGAAATGCGTATAATATTTATGTGTGTGTGTGTGTGTGTGTGCGTGCGTGGGTGCGTGCGTGCGTGCGTGCGTGCGTGCGTGTGTGTGTGTGTGTGTGTACTTTCGATTATGTTCGTGTATTATTCTTGCCAATTTATATAATGGATAATTTAATGATTTTAAGTGCCTTATAGATCCTTCATGGGTCGGCTGATGTTTTTATAAATCATACGTATGTATACGTGTAATGTTTTTTACTGTTTTTAAACACCAGGTGGCACTATAATAAAATAATTTTCTTCTTTCTTCTTCTTCTTCTATATAGCTCTCGGGTTTCTATAAATGGTAAAATGACTGACAGCTTCGCTGTATTAAGCGGAGTAAAACAAGGTTGTGTTCTGTCGCCTATGCTCTTTTCTGTTTTTATTAATGATTTAGTTAAAGAAATTACTGATCTTAAATGCGGAATAAAGGTTGATAATTCTATAATCAGTATTTTATTGTATGCTGACGATATCGCTCTTTTAGCACCCGATGAAAAGTCATTACAATCAATGTTAACCTGTGTCGGCAATTGGTGCAAGAAATGGCGCCTTCAAATAAATAGCAAAAAAAAAAAAATTGTTCATATATCCTCTGTTAAGTCATCTTATCACTTTACTTGTGGTGCGGGAAATATAGAAATTGTTTATTCATATAAGTATCTTGGGCTTTGGTTACATGAAAACTTAGATATGAATTATACAGCAAAAGAAATATCTAAATCAGCCAGTAGGGCACTTGGGGTAATTATCAGTAAGTTTTAAGCGGTGGGCGGCATGGATTATGATGTATTCACTACTTTATACAATAACTTAGTTCAACCAATTTTATCATATGGTTCAGCTATTTGGTGCACCAAAGAATTAGTTGTATCAACGCTATCCAAAATAGAGCTTGCCGCTTTTTCTTGGGAGTAGGCAACAAAACACCTAATTTGGCAGTAAGGGGGAAAATGGGCTGGTCATCTAACTATACAAAGCAAAAAATTGAGATAGTACGTTTCTGGAAAAGGCTGAGTTTGGCAGATGAAAACAGGCTAATGCATATAGTGCAAAGATGGTCATCTAAATTTCGTAAGTCATGGGATAATTCAGTTAAGAAATTATTCGATGTGAAATCAATTACTTCTGTTATAACTAATCTATTATCTTGTGACTTCGACCATGCTAGAAATATACTTATCAATAAGGATAAGGAATTATGGTTGGAACAGCTCTGGGATGACAGAGGATTAACAAATGGTATTAAGTTAAGAACATATCGATTGTTTAAAACGTCTTTAAGTACCTCCAAATATGTCATTGATTTAGCCAACAGAGAACATCGTAGTATATTTGCTAAATTTAGATGTGGTACCCTCCCTCTGGAAATTGAACTCTGTCGTTTCTTGAAAGCAAAAATTCCCTTACATAATCGTATTTGTAAACACTGTAATACAAACAGTATCGAAGACGAGGTTCATTTCTTAACAACGTGTAATCTTTATGCAGATCAACGAGGATATGTTTGGGGTTATGCCTCGTCTCTTTGCCCAAATTTTTGTCTCATGACCCCTATAGATCAAACCACATTCCTTATGACGTGCGATAATTTATCCTATTCTGTAGCTGCACTAATTAAATCCATGTACAAACGTAGGTTATATAACAACGTGTCATAAACCCATTCCAGTATTGTATGCCTCTGTATATTTTATATTTTATAAAACGTCATTGTATGGCAATGCTTGTCATAAATGTACGAGCATTATACTTTTATCTCGTATTTTGTGCACCATTAACAAATAAACCACTGTCCACTATAACTATTTTAGCACTTGCGGTGCTTTTAAGAACATTAGTGTCTAATAGGTCCACGCTGGCCGGGCAATGTATATCTTTTAATATATTTTACCTCTTGTATAAAATGATGTAATTTTATGTATACACCGCTGGACACTTAAATAAACTATTTTCCTTCTTCTTCCTCTTTTTCTTCTTCTTCTATAAACGCCCGCAGTTACCGGAATGTCGATAAACACCGGGGTGTAACCACGTGATCAAACCTCAATGATGATGTTTATCGCTCAGAAAATGGACATTTCTTGACAAGCGCAATTTGCGATACTTGTCATTGCTGAAAGTAATATTCCTCATCGGCAGAATGGCTTGTGTGAATGGCTTTTGTTCACTTCATAAGTATAAGCAGCTATCTTCGTTAGTTAATCATCGCGATATTTCGTGCTTCTATTTTAAGTGTTATCACTTGCATGGGTCACAGCATTTCGTCGACACAAGCCCTAATTTCGACTGGGACTCATCATTGGCAAATAAACCAGTTAAGGACGCTCTAGGAGACCTTTCATATATCTCTCATTTATCAAACCGAAACCATTGAAAAGATAGCATTCCTTATTTCAAATGTTATCTGATTTATAACATATTGCTCTTCTATGAGTTTAGATCAATCAGTCCAAATAAAGTTAAATGTCATATTGTCGACAGTAAATTATTGTTTGTTGTTGTTTGTTGTTTTACGCCGCCCTCAGCAATATTCCAGCTATATGACGGCGGTCTGTAAATAATCGAGTCTTGACCAGACAATCCAGTGATTGATGTCATGAGCATCGATCCACGCAATTGCTAAAAGCTTTGTCTGGCAGACTGTGCGTCTGTGTCGCATTAAAATTTAAATGTTCATCTTAAAGTAGACAAAGTCCGAAGTAAGTATGTTTATTAATATATATCTAACATAACGCCACCACATTTTAAAACTGCGACAGTTCTCGGTACCCAAGAGTTACGAAAATGCACAATTTTCGACTGCGCCTGATTAACAAGAATCTTTTGTTTTAGAACACCACATATAAAGAAAATCTAACAAAACTTTAATGTCAGCTTTTTTATCTACCAAAAGCACAAAATCGTCAGCGTACAGGAACGCTGGCTTTAAAACACCACAAAGACCTTATTGGCAAAATGCAATTGTATAATCAATTTTCCTGAAAAGAAAATTACCATATCAACACCTATGCAACAGATGTAAGTCCGATCGATTGTATGTTTTCAATTAGAACACTATCCATAACATTTGAATCATTATTACAGAAATATTGTTAAAAGTAACAAAGGAGGCTACTATGGCTAACAGATCCAGTTGCGTGTGGTACAGTGGTCGATGTGTAGGTGAGTGAGTTGTGTTTAACGCCGCTTTTAACATTATTCCAGTTATATCGCGGCGTGTCAGCTTAATGCGGGAGCAAAGCCCGAAGTGATGCAGGTCTCAGACGTTTACCACTTCGGTGAAACCCACGAGCACGGGTATGGTGCTGACAAACCTAGAAACATAATCGGGACGAACCGGGAATCGAACCCACAATCATAGGTTTCTGGCGTGCCCAATGGACGCAACTCTGCACAGCGAATCGCGGCGCCTTAGACGACTGGGCCACCCATGACCCCTGATGTGTAGGTACTCCCTGAGAGGACTTGTCCGCGGACTGGTTGAAATACTGCCGAATTGTTGAATAAGGAAGATAAGGAACTGAACGTCATGTAATATCTGAAAAAACAAAACAAGGCGATGAAATTGTATCTTTTGCCATGGACGAGAAATGACGTATCCCCGTGTTATGGGGTTTCGGACGTTTAAGAAACATTCATGTTTTTCTCTTTAATCACATGAACAACTGCAAATCATGTTACTTGTTACTTACTAGTTACTATAGTTAGTTGTAGGTGGGTTTTAACGTCGCGTCCACGATTGTTGCTCTTGGCGAGCAGTTCTCAGACTGTTTCGAACAGTTTGCGCACTCAGTCTACCCCTAAACAGTTCATTTCTGGTTGATGTAGCCGTCAAAAATCGGTTACGGAGGTGACGTAAGACAATCTGACGATCCTCTGCATGTGACGTCACACGTGGTCGACCCGGCCGAGGGCGATCAGCGGTGGTACCCGTTTGCTGTAGACGCGTCTGTAAATCATAAACAGTCCGTCGACTACAACCCATCGTCCTTGCGACTTCAACTACGGACGTTCCCGTCTGCAACATGCCGATGGCACGTTCAGGTTGCACATTTGAAGGCGTGGCATGACAAATGGCCGTAAAGACTTTTGTTTTCTTGTGTTTTTCTTTTTTTTGTTAATGATTGCTAAAAGTATGGCTGAAAACACGTGCGGTATTATGGCCACGTGACCAGTTGCACGTGAAAAAACACTTTTGCCACTTTAGTGCTGTGCACATGATTTTGATCGATTCACCTGCACAAAAACGGGTGTTATCTGAAGACAATACGTGGCCATTACTGTTTAAATACACAATAAGGGCCCACAATGATAACTGGTCAAAATGATAAAATTTTAGAATTGTGAAGTTTTTAATTTGGTTCAGTATATTTTGACAAGCCTATCAACAGGCTGACTGTCGCCTCACAATTGACACCTGCTACTGCAACCAACCTCGTATTGAATTTTACACTTCAATGTCAGGGCATTAATAGTATCGAAACGATGGTAAACGCACCTAGTAAACAGATGGTTCTTGTACTAACACTTGTTCAGTTATGTTGGAACGATGGCTATTTGAAGTGTGCGACTTTGAGATGTATGAAAACATGAGCCCTGCAAGCATTAAGGCGATCACGGTAAAAAACATTCAAGTGTAAACTGTCATTTCAGGAAAATTTATGATTTTGTTCAAATTCAGTTTCCTTTGTTCATTGTTTCTTGTATCATCTCTGTGTAGCATATTCGCCGTCCCACCTACGTCTGATCAATTCATATATATATTTCAGCCTGTTTAAACTATCGACGGTTTACTGAGATTCAGGTGGTGCAGAGTTGAAAGACAAGATCTATACTGTGCCTACCGGGTAGATTAAATCAGAGGTCACACCTAGACCCAATCCTACATATTGAAGTACTGATGCATCAGATGTCACAGTGGGATATTTATACCGCGTATGTACAACCGCAGCAACACAGCTGTGGAAATGGCGACATTCCCTTCTTTCAGGAAACTATCTGCAGTTCTACTAGGATTAACAATTGGATTAACTTTGGTGACCATTTTTGTTGTGACCTTTACAACAGACCAACATGGCGTTCGTTTCGTCTCCTCTATTGTGAACACTGTCAATTCACGAGCTGTACATTCACGAGAGGTACAAAAGCTATCGAATGACCTACACGAAGACGTTCAGAAGTCATTGGGGCAATACCTGTCTGGAAATGTCAAATTTGAGGACCTGCATCTTCATAAAGGTTAGTTTCAATATCACATTATAATATGCCATCTGGGTTAACGGGTTTGGTTTAATACGATTCTGAACTGGATTTCAGCTATACCACAGCTGAGAAAATGTAACGCCGCTTTGAAATTAATTTCAGCTATATCACGGCGTGTCAGCTGGATATGACAGGAGAGGCCAAAGCGACGCAGGTCTAAGACTTCTACCATACTGGCATAACCTACGAGCACGGGTATGGTGCTGACAAACCATGACACATAATCGTGAGGAGTATTTGAGTTTCGAACACACGATCTTAGGTTTCGGACACGCTTAAGGGATGAAATTCTGTATTTGACGCCGCTTTGAACAATGTGTCGGTTATATCACGGCGGATGAAAGCCCGAAGTGATAAAGGTCTGACGCGTTTACCACTTTGGTTTAAACCACAAGCAGCACGGGCGTTGAACTGGAGTCTAGTTTCATTCACACAGTGTAATCAATCTTGCCGAGTTTACTCTTATGATATGCGTGTGTAATTATGTTAAGTAGATTTTATATGTATGAACACAACCCTTACCATAATCATAAACCATTGACGTAATATCGACCTGGAATATATCCTGCACACTTTGAATTTGGTCAATGTGAAAAGAAAATATACACGCCAACTACCAGTATTCAGTATTATGTGGAACATTTATTCAACATTTATCGGACATCAACATAACGATATGTAACATTAATGTATAGGAAAAGTATTCAATGCTATCGATTCAACATTTTGAACTGTGTCTATGACTGTACATAAACAACCACTTGGCAATGACGTGTGTCACTATTTTCCAATCGAATTGTCTCATCAACATATTTTCAAAAGACAATTTTGCTCAACCTCTCCAACATACATACAGAGTATTTGCTGCAAAACCAAACTTAGAATCAATATAACATACCGTCATGCACACACGCCCACATATCGTCACGTTTCGTTTCCAAAGCATAATTCTGTTCAATACTTTTTAAACATGCACTGAACTGGTGCCTCTTTCTACATAACAGTTTCTATAAAATTAATGTTGCCCTTCAAATGAGGGTTGTTAACTCAACAACCGTATACGCGGTATTCCGTGTTACAAACGGTCCTCAACTACCAGTATGTTGATGCAATGCCGCGACCTAAGGCCATATAATTGACCGGGTCATACGTGGCTGCCTATTTGACCGTGTGACATCAGGTTAACTAGTCCATGCTATCATATAGCTATCATACGAAGTATCATGCATCACTTCAGAATTTGCCTTTTTATGGAATATTGTTTCGTTGAAGTTTCATTATTTACAGTTTCGAGAATAAACTACTAAGGACGATTACTATCGGATGAACGTCCATTGAAAGGTTGAATAGTTTGATAAGAAGGTATTATAGAAAAAACAAACATTTAAAGACAGGAGGATGCCACTGGTCTTATCGAGCGCCTCCGTGGTCTTGTGGTAGAGCGTCCGCCCGGAGAGCCATCTCTGCCATCATTTAGTTACGAAACATGTTCTCACAAGCTTAGTTACTAATCATAATTTTGATTGGCATCTTATAAAGATATATTAATGCCATTTAGTCTTGTGGTAGAGCGTCCGCCCTGAGAGCGGAAGGTCCGGGGTTCGATCCCCGGGCTCGTCATACCAAAAAACGTTAAAAGATTGTACTTGTTGTTACCCTGTCTGGCGCTCGGCATTAAGGGGCTAAAACAAGGACTGGTCGGCTCGGAGTCAGTATACTGTGTCTGAGTGGGGTATTCATGTTAAACTGCGGCATGGTATCTCATTGAGCTAGCACTATAAATCGGCATCAGTCCGGACTAGTACAAGCAGCCACACACACATACACGTGCATGCACGTCGCTATATAAGTGCAACAATCTTTGACGCGACGTTAAACCCAATTTCACCCCACCTCACTGGTCTTATTATGAACAATATACTCTGCCATCATTTAGTTACGAAACATGTTCTCACAAGCTTAGTTACTAATCATAATTTTGATTGGCATCTTATAAAGATATATTAATGCCATTTAGGAACGCAAAAACGTCTTTGAATACATAAATGCACAGAAAAAGAAGTTTATTTCGGTATAAAGGCCACAGGCCCAAGTACAATATAGATGTGTTATATACAAAGTGGTGGTACAATATCAAGAGGTACAGAGTGCAATTAAAGTACAAATTAGAATTATAATAATGAAGAACGTAAAGATAGGACATCTTTTATGTATTTAGCACATAATGACAAGGTTTCAATGTTAGAAGTTCGTAGTAAAGTTCTGAGAGAGTGCTCATTTTTTAAAGTTATTGTTGGGAATATATCTGTGTCTTAAAATATCATAAGTTGGGCATACTAACAAAAATGTAACTCATCTTCGATAATATTTTTACAATAAGGTCAGAATCTAAGGTTTCTAGGTACACCCTCCGGCGTACCTATATTTTTCATAATGTGTAATTCTCTCATTCTTAATAATGGTAAACATCTCCCTAGGTCCCTGTGGTGTATATGATGCAAATATGGTTCAATTGTGAAAGTTGACTTTATAGTGGAGTCTAAATCTAAATTTGAATGCTCATTTAACCTTGAAAAATGAGATTGAACACAACAGTCTTTAACTCTTTGTTAAAATTCTAAAAGAAATAAATTAATATTACCGATACTTTGATTATTCCATTCATAATTTAAACAATATGAATAAAGTAATTTTGTAACATTTGAGGCCGATGTAACTCTGACTTGCTCGTCCAATCTTCTCAACATGTCATAACATTGCTTTGGATATCTAGTATCCGATAATGCATACAAGTTTACACCAATATTTAGTGCATCTGGAGAGTGAATCGCAATATATATTACACCGACCACACTCACTTAAAACAGATGCAGTAGTAGAAGATTTGCCAACACCTAGAACATATTTACAATATTTTACATGTAACTTTTCTAATGCCTCCCATTTATGACAACCCCATACCTCGGATGAATACAACAGAATAGGTTTTATTTGAGAAGATTTTTTAATTTCGATTGCAATTGCTTTACTAGCTTTATTAATAAGTGTTTGTACTAAGTTTGACCATGACAGTCTGTTTGAAAGTATGATACCAAGCATTCTTAAGTATACCAACGCTGAGGAACACAAGGATTTCAGTTTTCTTGAAATTAACTTTCAAACCCCACTTTGAACAAAATTTCTACAATATATGTATTTTCTTTTGCAAACTAATAACACTTTCAGAAAACAGACATAAAACATCTGCATATAGTAATAAAAGGAAATCTTAAAAGTACAAAAATACCTCTCCCGCCATGCTGCTGTAATTCATCTTCAAGTTGGTTTAAAAGCATACTAAATAGAAGTGGACATAGAATACAACCTTGACGTACACCGCTTAAACAATCAAAATATTCGGAAATGCTAACATTTGATGTTTTAACAGCTGATGTTGTCGTAGAATACATATCACGAATTATATTCAGCACTTTGCCTTTAATATCTTGTTGAGCTAACACATACCATAAAAGATCTCTATTGATAGAATCAAAAGCTTTATGGAAGTCTACGGATAAACAATAAAATCTACCCCTGGATTTGGATAAATATTTCTGAATTAGTGATTGTTGTGTAAAAATATTATCAGTTGTAGAGTAGCAAGTACGAAATCCAGCTTGACACTCAGGGTTTTTGTTAAACAAATCTACGAAAGCTTTATGTCTATTATAAATGCATATGTCCTATGGGAGCAGTTGAAAACCAAGTTATATTCAGTTAAGCATAAATAACGAGTTCCCCCAATTGCTACAATGTGAGAATCTCATTCTGGCTGTCTCTTGGGGAGGGTGGGATACCCATGACCTCCCATGATCTTGCTGGAATATTGCTGAATGCGGCGTAAAGCCCTACTTACTCACTCACTGGTGTTTCTCGCCTATATATAGCTGCAATACATCAATCTACCACTCTAACTGTGTGATGTTATTTCACGAAATAGCTCAAACAGGAATAACTGATTCTTAATTTGTTTTAACAGATGATGATGCCATATCCAAGGCTCTGTATCAAAAGGAGCGTGTACTCTGCTGGATTATGACGTCCCCTAAGAATCTCGATGTTAAAGCACGTGTAGTTCGCGACACATGGAGCAGGCGCTGCAACAAAGTGCTCTTCATGAGCTCTGTGACGGATCCAAAGTTCCCTACAATCGGATTAAACGTGTCGGAAGGTCGGCGGCATTTGACAGCCAAAACGATGCAGGCTTTCCGTTACATCTACGAAAACCACTTTGATGATGCTGATTGGTTCATGAAGGCTGACGATGACACATATGTTATTTTAGAGAACCTCCGGTACTTTCTGACGTCCCAAAACAAATCCGAACCTGTATTTTTTGGCCATCATTTTAAGGTGTACGTAAAACAAGGGTACTACAGCGGCGGAGGGGGTTATGTGCTGAGTAAGGAAGCGCTGAGGAGATTTGGAGAGAAAGGTCGTGATCCCAGTGTATGTCGACAAGATTTCGGCCCAGAGGACTTAGAAATGGGCAAATGTATGCAAAATCTAGGGGTGAGGACAGTCAATACTCTAGACGCCCTCGGGAGGAGCAGGTTCCACTGTTTTGACCCCGAGACACACCTGTTTGGTGGATACCCAAAGTGGTATTACAAATTCGATGCAAATGGTGCTAAGAAGGTAAGACAAACTCAAAATGTTTTCAAAATCTTCGGCACGAACAAGAAAAGCATCATATCTGAATACAAAAACGGAGAGTAATTATTATACATGTACTTATATCCACAGGTCTGGAGGATGTATACTTGTATATTCACCAATTGAGAGTATTTAAGATACCTATATATAAAATATAAAATATTTTAAAGTAACTGTGCTTCATATAAAGTTCAACATCCCCAGGTTCCTTTCAATCATCCGGTGTCTTCTATGCGCCGCCGCTGCATCGCCTGTATCAACGCAAATGGTGTTCACGCCCGATATTGACATTGTTAAATGAGTTGTTACACCATCCCCTTCTTCAATGAATTTGGGGGTAAGACATTGAGATAAGAAGTAGGCATCCCCATGGGCACCAACTGTGCTCCGTTTCTTGCTGATCTATTTCTTTATGGATATGAATTGGTATTTCGGATCGGATTGGCAAAGTTAGAACAAGGTAACTTGGCCAAGAAGTTATATCGGATATATCGATGACAGATATCTTTCAATAACCATCCATTATAAACCAACTGCAAACGTGTGCCTTTTGTATTGTTGGTATCTTCTATCTCGTATTAGCCTCTTGGGAGGATTTACTTTTTCCTAGTTAGACCTGGTATGAGGCTTTACGTTTTACTTGTGAGACCTGATGAGTTGAGTTGTAGATGAAATTTGTACTTGGTTCAATTTTACAGTCAGTTGGTCTATGTTGCAAGTGGCTTTTCTATCGCTTCGATTGAATTCCTTTTAAACCACGACACACTTTATTGTTTTGCTATAAGGTATCTAAATGTTCTCTTATTTTTCTAGTATTTCTTGCATTTCGACAGTTCATAAGTGAATCTGGTATTCACAATGTAAGATCGAGGAGCGAAGTTCCTCTATCTTACATTGCCGATACCCTCTTGCCTCTGTCTTAGTTCCTCGACCATAACCTCGGAGTCGTGCTTATCCGTCACATAGACAATTCCCTTCCACGTATTTAAGCACCTGAACTAGAAATAAAGGAGACCAGTGAGGCCTCATTTGTTTCATATTTAGACGAGATTCAGAGTTACAAAACACTCTCCACAAGACTGTTTGACAAGATGGATGACTTCAACTTTCCAATCGTCAACTTTACCTTTTTGTCGAGCAATATTCCCGCAGTTCAAGCCCTTGGTGTATGCATTCCACAAAATTTAAGGTACAATCGAGCATGTTCTTTCAACCAAGATTTCATAAAAGGATCATACGACCCTTGCTCAAAAGATGTTTGATCAAGGTTGCAACAGTAAGGGCCCCATGAAAAGGTTCAAAATTATGTTGAGGGCATTTTCAAATGTGACGCATCATTGACAAGACAATTCCCTAGTTTGACTTGCACCATATGTTCCCCTGTTTACTCGTAAGAATTGGAACATATGATTGATACACGTCCTTGCTTTATGGACAAAAGGTATTTTACGTTCGACAATTGCGAGGACAGGCATCACTGTGTTTGCAACATAATGTTTCCGTAATGTGTTCAGGTGAACAATTGACTTGCCTTTGCATGTGTTTGTGACGGATGCCACTGGTGGGGCAGGACACCTGGTATCTTCATTCATAAACGCATGCTCACGACATCGTCGAAATCGTACAGTAGACTTGAATGCAGAAAGGTTTTTGTCCCTTACATTTACGATAAAACATTGATCACGTGACCAACATTTACACCAATTTATTTGAAGCACAGTTACTTTTTTCCGGTGGTATATAGCCACCGGTCAATAGTACAGATTTCCAAACAGTTAGAATTATTTCGTAATCGAGTATAATGTTTATAAGGAGATAAGGAGTTTTTTAAACTACGAATCAAATAGCTAGAACCATGCCCATTCTTGTTTCGTTCGTATGGAATGAATGTATGCGTTAGATTAATGTTTAACTGGATTAAACTTTTTCATGAAAACGTATATTTTTGAAGGGCACAGAGAACATCTCCAACTACGCCATATCCTTCCACTACGTGTCTCCAAAGAAGATGCACGCTCTGGAGTTTTACATCTATCACTTACGACCGTATGGCATTGTGTCCGGAACCCAGGAGCTCAACAGACAAGTGGACGTGAAACCCAGAACTCAGGAGGTCAACAGACAAGCGGATGTGAAACCCAGAACTCAGGAGCTCAACAGACAAGTGGACGTGAAACCCGGAACTCAGGAGGTCAACAAACCAGCGGATGTGAAACCCGGAACTCAGGAGGTCAACAGACAAGCGGATGTGAAACCCGGAACTCAGGAGGTCAACAGACAAGTGGACGTCAAACCCGGAACTCAGGAGGTCAACAGACAAGTGGACGTGAAACCGGGAACTCAGGAGGTCAACAGACAAGCGAACGTGAAACCCGGAGCTCAGGAGGTCAACAAACAAGTGGATGTGAAATCCGGAACTCATGAGGTCAACAGACAAGCAAATGTGAAACCCGGAACTCAGGAGGTCAACAGACAAGTGGATGTGAAACCCGGAACTCATGAGGTCAACAGACACGCGGATGTGAAACCCGGAACTCAGGAGGTCAACAGACACGCGGATGTGAAACCCGGAACTCAGGAGGTCAACAGACAAGTGGACGTGAAACCCGGAACTCAGGAGGTCAACAGACAAGCGGATGTGAAACCGGGAACTCAGGAGGTCAACAGACAAGCGGATGTGAAACCCGGAACTCAGGAGCTCAACAGACAAGCGAATGTAAAACCCGGATCTCAGGAGGTCAACAGACAAGCGGATGTGAAACTCGGAACTCAGGAGGTCAACAGACAAGCGGATGTGAAACCCGGAACTCAGAAGGTCAACAGACATGCGTAGTGGCACGTGGAACTCAGGAGGTCAACAGACATTCATGGTGGCACCCGGAACACAGGAGGTTAACAGACATGCGGAGTAACAAAGAGGACGTCATGTGATTGATTTTCGATTATGTATTTTGCATATATTAGGTGTTCACAAAAATTATTACGTGGCATTGAAACAATTGATCATATATGCAGCTGGTATGATGATGTAATAAAGCCACATGATAAATCTGTATTATAAAGATAACCCAAACTGGGAGATTATCAGGTGGAACAACTGTTTTGTTAAGAAAGGATTTTGTTAAATACATGAAATGGACTAAAAATACAAAGAGGTGCATATTTTTTTTATTGGACAAGACACTATTTGGTCTTACATCAGATGTTTTATATTCCACAGTGTATATTCACCCTGAGAATTCAGCATTGTATAACCATACTGGATTAGAAAGTAAAAATGGTATTTCCCTTTTTCAAGAAGATATTCTTGATATACTGTTGGATATAGAAGGGGACGTCATACCCTTTTTCGGTGGAGATTTTAATGCCTGCACAGGCAATGACCCGGACTATGTTGAAGATGACATTATTGAACACATTCAGGGCTATGAACACAACCTTATGGACTATTTGCTTGATCATTTTCGTATCAGGCGATATTCACGTGACACTACTGTTAATAAGTTCGGCAAATGTTTGCTGTATTTGTGCTCAGTACTTCACATAATGAATGGGAGATGTGGCTCTGACTCGGATGTGGGTGATTTTACCTACGTAGGTCATAATGGGACTAGTGTCATTGATTATTTTATATATTCACCACAACTGTTTCATTGCTGTTCTGACTTAACTTCACAGATCAATGGAAGTGGCATAAACTGACATTAATGAAAGTGTGCAATATTTGGTTGAAGCATTGTGTAAGTCTTATATGTGTATGAGAAGTGTGACTTCCTCAAAAAGGAAAGATGTAGGTGCTTAAATATATTTAGGAAAACTAAAGATGCAGTATCCTTATCAATTTACAACCAGGCTAGAATAAGTATAATAGTACATGCAGAAATAAAAAAGGGGAATACAAAGCGAGACAGCGAGAAAAACTAGAAAGTAGCATTAATGATCCAAAAACGTTCCGGTCTGCTCTCAAACACTTGAATGGTAAAAGACAGGTTTATAAAAATGACATAAACATAGATACCTGGTATAAACATTTTAGAGACTTATTTTCTTTTGACAATAACAGTGAAGATTTGCAGGAAGACATCGAAATAGACAGTGGGGAGGCTAGTTTAGTAGCTGATATGTTAGATTTTCCCATTTCAAGAGAAGAAATCACTTCAAGTATACAAAGATTGAAAAAAGAAAATTCTCCTGGCATTGACAACGTAATACCCGAGTTTTTTAAGAATTCCTCAGATATAATTGTCCCATATTTAGAAGTCTTGTTTAATGCTATTTTTGAAAACTCCAATTTTCCCAAAGATTGGTCAGTGGGCATTATCATTTCTCTTCACAAACAAGGTAATGTAAATGGTACCAATAAGTACAGAGGCATCACATTATTAAGCATATTGTGTAAAATATTCTTAGATATCATTAATAGAAGATTAGTATTTTGGGCTGAATCATTTAAGAAAATAGATGAGGCACAAGCTGGTTTTAGAGAGGGGTACTCAACTATAGACAATTTTTGTGTGTTACATTCCTTAATTCAACGTTATTTATCAAGTAAAGGAGGGAAACTTTATGCGCTTTTTGTAGATTTTTCAAAAGCATCTGACTCAGTTAACCGTGATAAGTTTTGGGCCTTGCTTAAATTACGAAGGACAAGCAGGAAGATGTTGAAACTATTATCAAGTATCTATGAACAAGTAGAGGCTTGTTTAAGAAGTAATGGTAAGTACTCAGAAGATTTTGAATGCAACGTAGGCGTTCGACAAGGATGTATATTAAGTCCTTTTCTCTTTTCTTTCTTTATTAACGAGCTGGCAGAAGAAATACAAAGCAATTGTAAAGGTGGCATTCAGCTAAACCCAGATATTGTTAAAATATATTTGCTTCTGTTTGCCGATGATGTCGTAATGATTTCGAGTACTGTACCCGGACTTCAAAGTCAGATAAATGTGCTGGAGCAATTTTGTGAACAATTTGGTTTAAGTGTTAACACAAAAAAGACCAAAGTTATTGTATTTAAAAACGGCGGAATGTTATCAAAAAGGGAGAAATGTTTGTACAAAGACAGTTAACTGGACGTAGTTACAAGCTATAAATATTTGGGAGTAAATGTTTCTATTAAATTGTCTTGGACTTTTCATTCAATACAGGCTGCAACACAAGCAAAGAAAAATTCTCTATGCGATACTTAAACGTCTCAGACCTATTGAGAGTGTAAATTATAATCTTTTTTTTTTTAAATTTGACACAAAAATAAAGCCAATTCTACTATATGGGGCTGAGGTTTGGGGAGTACATCAGCTAGAATTGATTGAAAAGGTGCATGTTACATGCATGCAAAAGATATTTAGGAGTAAAGATAAACACCTCCAATGTAGTTGTATATGATGAATGTGGTAGATTTCCATTATATATAAATGCACAAATTAAAGTCATAAAGTACTGGTTAAGGCTATTACGGATGCCAAATGATAGGTACCCCAAAAAATGTTATGAAATGATGATACTGTATGACAAAAATGGAAAGCAAAACTGGGTTTCTTCAGTTAAAAAGCTCATTAATGATTTAGGCTTTGGTTCTGCTTGACAACGTCAAAATGTAGATTGTCGTGAACATTTTGTGAAATTGTGTACACAAAGGCTCATAGATACCTTCTTACAACAGTGGTATTGTTTGTTAGCTTTATCGTCAAAATATCAGTACTTTAGTTTGTTTAAAACACATTTTATAACTGCAGAATATCTTTTGAAACCACTCTTGTACAAATATAGAATTGCATTTTCTAGATTCAGATGTTCGTCACATGAATTAAATATTGAAACGGGAAGATATTTCAAAATCCCAAAGGAAATTAGATTATGTAAAATGTGTAATCTACAGCTAATAGAGGATGAGCACCATTTTCTCATTTGTCCATTTTACCAGAATTAGAAATGATAAGATGAGTGTTTTAAACATCCACTATCCACAAAGTTATGTACTATAGGCCTATGGCATTTCAGTATTTCTGAAATAAAGATTGACTGATTGATAAATCTGTATTTACTTCACTGAGAAAAGGATAGAGAATACAATAATGACAATGGAACTTTTACACTGTCATTGCGACAGTCGTTGCATGTGGAGCCCAATCATACAGATTGGCCTGTTTCGGAGACCACATTAGAATTGAGTTGGTTGGCTAATAAAGGGAGAGCAATGTGGCAAATAACTGATACCTTTGAATTTAACAATGTCGACAAACGTCATGTAGTTTAAGAAACTGCGAGGCTTATCACGAGTTTGATGTGATGAGTTTGTTTGCCTGTTTATTTGTTCGTTTGTTTGTTTGTTGTTTAACGTCGCACTCACCAAGATTCGAGCTATATGACGGCGGTCTGTAAACAATCGAGTTTGAATTTCACTGTAGGTTGCAAATGAAGCTCCGGGCATCAAATACTCAATAACACTCACAAACACATGTTTGTTAACTCCACCTTTGATATACAAAGTATGCCGCCAACGTGAGATCCTCATTAATTTACCATAACATTATTACGTCTGTGTAAATAATGGAATAAATGGAGAACCACACAAAAATAAACACGTTCTGTTTTTGTGCCGACTTAATTTGCTCTGTCCTACGGGGATCATATTCTGAATCTCAACATACCTGGTCAACGAACTCCTTTGACGGGGTCCTCTTCAATCACTCATTCCGTCATGTGTCTTCATGATCATGCTTTGTGTTCTATATCTTGTTCATATGACTGAGTGTGTCACGGAAATGGTGCTGCGTGAGTGGGGGTATCACGGAAATAGTGCTGCGTGAATGGAGGGTGTCACGGAAATAGTGCTGCGTGACTTGAGGGTGTCACGGAAATAGCACTGCGTGACTGGAGGATGTCACGGAAATAGTGCTGCGTGACTGGAGGGGGTCACGAAAATGGTGCTGCGTGACTGGAGGGTGTCAAGCAAATGGTGCTGCGTGACTGGAGGGTGTCACGGAAATGGTGCTGCGTGACTGGAGGGTGTCACGAAAATGGTAATGCGTGACTGGGGGATGTCACGGAAATCGTACTGCGTGACTGGAGGATGTCACGGAAATAGTGCTGCGTGACTGGAGGGAGTCACGAAAATGGTGCTGCGTGACTGGAGGGTGTCAAGCAAATGGTGCTGCGTGACTGGAGGGTGTCACGAAAATGGTGCTGCGTGACTGGAGGGTGTCACGAACATGGTGCTGCCTGACTGGAGGGTGTCACGAAATTGGTGCTGCGTGACTGGAGGGTGTCACGGAAATAGTGCTGCGTGAATGGAGGGTGTCACGGAAATCGTACTGTGTGACTAGAGGGTGTCACAGAAATACTGCTGCGTGACTGGAGGGTGTCACGAAAATGGTGCTGCCTGACTGGAGGGTGTCACGAAAATGGTGTTGCGTGACTGGAGGGTGTCACGAAAGTGATGCTGCGTGACTTGAGGGTGTCACGGAAATAGTTCTGCGTGATTGGTGGGTATCACGGAAATGTTACTGCGTGATTGGAGGGTGTCACGGAAATGTTACTGCGTGACTGGAGGGTGTCACGGAAATAGTACTGCCTGACTGGAGGGTGTCACGGAAATAGTGCTGCATAAATGGAGGGTGTCACGAAAATGGTGCTGCGTGACTGGAGGGTGTCACGGAAATAGTACTGCGTGACTGGAGGATGTCACAGAAATAGTGCTGCGTGACCGGAGGTTGTCACGAACATTGTTGAATAAGGAAGATAAGGAACTAAACGTCATGTAATATCTGAAAAAACAAAACAAGGCGATGAAAATTTTATCTTTTGCAGGGGACGAGAAATGACGTATCCCCGTGTTATGGGGTTTCGGACGTTTAAGAAACATTCATGTTTTTCTCTTTAATCACATGAACAACTGCAAATCATGTCACTTGTTACTTACTAGTTACTATAGTTACTTGTATGTGGGTTTTAACGTCGCGTCCACGATTGTTGCTCTTGGCGAGCAGTTCTCAGACTGTTTCGAACAGTTTGCGCACTCCGTCTACCCCTAAACAGTTCATTTCTGGTTGATGTAGCCGTCAAAAATCGGTTACGGAGGTGACGTAAGACAATCTGACGATCCTCTGCATGTGACGTCACACGTGGTCGACCTGGCCGAGGGGGATGAGCGGTGGTACCCGTTTGCTGTAGACGCGACTGTAAATCATAAACAGTCGGTCGACTACAACCCATCGTCCTTGCGACTTCAGCTACGGACGTTCCCGTCTGCAACATGCCGATGGCACGTTTACGTTGCACATTTGAAAGGCGTGGCATGACAAATGGCCGTAAAGACTTTTGTTTTCTTGTGTTTTTCTTTTTTTGTTAATGATTGCTAACAAGTATGGCTGAAAACACGTGCGGTATTATGGCTACGTGACCAGTTGCACGTGAAAAACCACTTTTGCCACTTTTGTTCAAATTCAGTTTCCTTTGTTCATTGTTTCTTGTAGCATCTCTGTGTAGCATATTCGCCGTCCCGCCTACGTCTGATCAATTCATATATATATATTTCAGCCTGTTTAAACTATCGTCGGTTTACTGTGATTCAGGTGGTGCAGAGTTGAAAGACAAGATCTATACTGTGCCTACCGGGTAGATCAAATCAGAGGTCACACCTAGACCCAATCCTACATATTGAAGTACTGATGCATCAGATGTCACATTTGGATATTTATACCGCGTATGTACAACCGCAGCAACACAGCTGTGGAAATGGCGACGTTCCCTTTTTTCAGGAAACTATCTGCAGTTCTACTAGGATTAACAATTGGATTAACTTTGGTGACCATTTTTGTTGTGACCTTTACAACAGACCAACATGGCGTTCGTTTCGTCTCCTCTATTGTGAACACTGTCAATTCACGAGCTGTACATTCACGAGAGGTACAAAATCTATCGAATGACCTACACGAAGACGTTCAGAAGTCATTGGGGCAATACCTGTCTGGAAATGTCAAATTTGAGGACCTGCATCTTGATCATAAAGGTTAGTTTCAATATCGCATTATAATATGCCATCTGGGTTAACGGGTTTAGTTTTATACGATTCTGAACTGGATTTCAGCTATACCACAGCTGGTATACCACAGCTGAGAAAATGTAACGCCGTTTTGAAATTAATTTCAGCTATATCACGGCGTGTCAGCTGGATATGACAGGAGAGGCCAAAGCGACGCAGGTCTAAGACATCTACCATACTGGCATAACCTACGAGCACGGGTATGGTGCTGACAAACCATGACACATAATCGTGAGGAGTATTTGTGTTTCGAACACACGATCTTAGGTTTCGGACACGCTTAAGGGATGAAATTTTGTATTTGACGCCGCTTTGAACAATGTGTCGGTTATATCACGGCGGAGGAAAGCCCGAAGTGATAAAGGTCTGACGCGTTTACCACTTTGGTGAAAACCATAAGCAGCACGGGCGTTTGAACTGGAGTCTAGTTTCATTCACACAGTGTAATCGATCTTGCCGAGTTTACTCTTATGATATGCGTGTGTAATTATGTTAAGTAGATTTTATATGTATGAACACAACCCTTACCATAATCATAAGACGTAAACCATTGACGTAAGATCGACCTGGAATATATCCTGCACACTTTGAATTTGGTCAATGTGAAAAGAAAATATACACGCCTACTACCAGTATTCAGTATTATGTGGAACATTTATTCAACATTTATCGGACATCAACATAACGATATGTAACATTAATGTATAGGAAAAGTATTCAATGCTATCGATTCAACATTTTGAACTGTGTCTATGACTGTACATAAACAACCACTGTGCAATGACGTGTGTCACTATTTTCCAATCGAATTGTCTCATCAACATATTTTCAAAAGACAATTTTGCTCAACCTCTCCAACATACATACAGAGTATTTGCTGCAAAACCAAACTTAGAATCAATATAACATACCGTCATGCACACACGCCCACATATCGTCACGTTTCGTTTCCAAAGCATAATTCTGTTCAATACTTTTTGAACATGCACTGAACTGGTGCCTGTTTCTACATAACAGTTTCTATAAAATTAATGTTGCCCTTCAAATGAGGGTTGTTAACTCAACAACCGTATACGCGGTATTCCGTGTTACAAACGGTCCTCAACTACCAGTATGTTGATGCAATGCCGCGACCTAAGGCCATATAATTGACCGGGTCATACGTGGCTGCCTATTTGACCGTTTGACATCAGGTTAACTAGTCCATGCTATCATATAGCTATCATACGAAGTATCATGCATCACTTCAGAATTTGCCTTTTTATGGAATATTGTTTCGTTGAAGTTTCATTATTTACAGTTTCGAGAATAAACTACTAAGGACGATTACTATCGGATGAACGTCCATTGAAAGGTTGAATAGTTTGATAAGAAGGTATTATAGAAAAAACAAACATTTAAAGACAGGAGGATACCACTGGTCTTATCGACCGCCTCGGTGGTCTTGTGGTAGAGCGTCCGCCCGGAGAGCCATCTCTGCCATCATTTAGTTACGAAACATGTTCTCACAAGCTTAGTTACTAATCATAATTTTGATTGGCATCTTATAAAGATATATTAATGCCATTTAGGAACGCAAAAACGTCTTTGAATACATAAATGCACAGAAAAAGAAGTTTATTTCGGTATAAAGGCCACAGGCCCAAGTACAATATAGATGTGTTATATGCAAAGTGGTGATACAATATCAAGAGGTACAGAGTGCAATTAAAGTACAAATTAGAATTATAATAATAAAGAACGTAAAGATAGGACATCTTTTATGAATTTAGCACATAATGACAAGGTTTCAATGTAAAGTTCTGAGGAAGTGCTCATTTTTTAAAGTTATTGTTGGGAATATATCTGTGTCTTAAAATATCATAAGTTGGGCATACTAACAAAAAATGTAACTCATCTTCGATAATATTTTTACAATAAGGTCAGAATCTAAAGTTTCTAGGTACACCCTCCGGCGTACCTATATTTTTCATAATGTGTAATTCTCTCATTCTTAATAATGGTAAACATCTCCCTAGGTCCCTGTGGTGTATATGATGCAAATATGGTTTAATTGCGAAAGTTGACTTTATAGTGGAGTCTAAATCTAAATTTGAATGCGCATTTAACCTTGAAAAATGAGATTGAACACAACAGTCTTTAACTCTTTGTTAAAATTCTAAAAGAAATAAATTAATATTACAGATACTTTGATTATTCCATTCATAATTAAAACTATATGAATAAAGTAATTTTGTAACATTTGAGGCCGATGTAACTCTGACTTGCTCGTCCAATCTTCTCAACATGTCATAACATTGCTTTGGATATCTAGTATCCGATAATGCACACAAGTTTACACCAATATTTAATGCATCTGGAGAATGAATCGCAATATATATTACACCGACCACACTCACTTAAAACAGATGCAGTAGTAGAAGATTTGCCAACACCTAGAACATATTTACAATATTTTACATGTAACTTTTCTAATGCCTCCCATCTATGACAACCCCATACCTCGGATGAATACAACAGAATAGGTTTTATTTGAGAAGATTTTTTAATTTCGATTGCAATTGCTTTACTAGCTTTATTAATAAGTGTTTGTACTAAGTTTGACCATGACAGTCTGTTTGAAAGTATGATACCAAGTATTCTTAAGTATACCAACGCTGAGGAACACAAGGATTTCAGTTTTCTTGAAATTAACTTTCAAACCCCACTTTGAACAAAATTTCTACAATATATATATTTTCTTTTGCAAACTAATAACACTTTCAGAAAACAGACATAAAACATCTGCATATAGTAATAAAAGGAAATCTTAAAAGTACAAAAATACCTCTCCCGCCATGCTGCTGTAATTCATCTTCAAGTTGGTTTAAAAGCATACTAAATAGAAGTGGACATAGAATACAACCTTGACGTACACCGCTTAAACAATCAAAATATTCGGAAATGCTAACATTTGATGTTTTAACAGCTGATGTTGTCGTAGAATACATATCACGAATTATATTCAGCACTTTGCCTTTAATATCTTGTTGAGCTAACACATACCATAAAAGATCTCTATTGATAGAATCAAAAGCTTTATTGAAGTCTACGGATAAAAAATAAAATCTACCCCTGGATTTGGATAAATATTTCTGAATTAGTGATTGTTGTGTAAAAATATTATCAGTTGTAGAGTAGCAAGTACGAAATCCAGCTTGACACTCAGGGTTTTTGTTAAACAAATCTACGAAAGTTTTATGTCTATTATAAATGCATATGTCCTATGGGAGCAGTTGAAAACCAAGTTATATTCAGTTAAGCATAAATAACGAGTTCCCCCAATGTGAGAATCTCATTCTGGCTGTCTCTTGGGGAGGGTGGGATACCCATGACCTCCCATGATCTTGCTGGAATATTGCTGAATGCGGCGTAAAGCCCTACTTACTCACTCACTGGTGTTTCTCGCCTATATATAGCTGCAATACATCAATCTACCACTCTCACTGTGTGATGTTATTTCACGAAATTGCTCAAACAGGAATAACTGATTCTTAATTTGTTTTAACAGATGATGATGCCATATCCAAGGCTCTGTATCAAAAGGAGCGTGTACTCTGCTGGATTATGACGACCCCTAAGAATCTCGATGTTAAAGCACGTGTAGTTCGCGACACATGGAGCAGGCGCTGCAACAAAGTGCTCTTCATGAGCTCTGTGACGGATCCAAAGTTCCCTACAATCGGATTAAACGTGTCGGAAGGTCGGCGGCATTTGACAGCCAAAACGATGCAGGCTTTCCGATACATCTACGAAAACCACTTTGATGATGCTGATTGGTTCATGAAGGCTGACGATGACACATATGTTATTTTAGAGAACCTCCGGTACTTTCTGACGTCCCAAAACAAATCCGAACCTGTATTTTTTGGCCATCATTTTAAGGTGTACGTAAAACAAGGGTTCTACAGCGGCGGAGGGGGTTATGTGCTGAGTAAGCAAGCGTTGAGGAGATATGGGGAGAAAGGTCGTGACCCCAGTGTATGTCGACAAGATTTCGGCCCAGAGGACTTAGAAATGGGCAAATGTATGCAAAATCTAGGGGTGAGGACAGTCAATACTCTAGACGCCCTGGGGAGGAGCAGGTTCCACTGTTTTTACCCCGAGATACACCTGTTTGGTAGATACCCAAAGTGGTATTACAAATTCGATGCAAATGGTGCTAAGAAGGTAAGACAAACTCATATCTGAATACAAAAACGGAGAGTAATTATTATACATGTACTTATATCCACAGGTCTGGAGGATGTATACTTGTATATTCACCAATTGAGAGTATTTAAGATACCTATATATAAAATATAAAATATTTTAAAGTAACTGTGCTTCATATAAAGTTCAACACCCCGCAGGTTCCTTTTAATCATCCGGTGTCTTCTATGCGCCGCCGCTGCATCGCCTGTATCAACGCAAATGGTGTTCACGCCCGATATTGACATTGTTAAATGAGTTGTTACACCATCCCCTTCTTCAATGAATTTGGGGGTAAGACATTGAGATAAGAAGTAGGCATCCCCATGGGCACCAACTGTGCTCCGTTTCTTGCTGATCTATTTCTTTATGGATATGAATTGGTATTTCGGATCGGATTGGCAAAGTTAGAACAAGGTAACTTGGCCAAGAAGTTATATCGGATATATCGATGACAGATATCTTTCAATAACCATCCATTATAAACCAACTGCAAACGTATGCCCTTTGTATTGTTGGTATCTTTTATCTCGTATTAGCCTCTTGGGAGGATTTACATTTTCCTAGTTAGACCTGGTATGAGGCTTTACGTTTTACTTGTGAGACCTGATGAGTTGAGTTGTAGATGAAATTTGTACTTGGTTCAATTTTACAGTCAGTTGGTCTGTGTTGCAAGTGGCTTTTCTATCGCTTCGATTGAATTCCTTTTAAACCACGACACACTTTATTGTTTTGCTATAAGGTATCTCGATGTTCTCTTATTTTTCTAGTATTTCTTGCATTTCGACAGTTCATAAGTGAATCTGGTATTCACAATGTAAGATCTCACATTGCCGATACCCTCTTGCCTCTGTCTTAGTTCCTCGACCATAACCTCGGAGTCGTGCTTATCCGTCACATAGACAATTCCCTTCCACGTATTTAAGCACCTGAACTAGAAATAAAGGAGACCAGTGAGGCCTCATTTGTTTCATATTTAGACGAGATTCAGAGTTACAAAACACTCTCCACAAGACTGTTTGACAAGATGGATGACTTCAACTTTCCAATCGTCAACTTTACCTTTTTGTCGAGCAATATTCCCGCAGTTCAAGCCCTTGGTGTATGCATTCCACAAAATTTAAGGCACAATCGAGCATGTTCTTTCAACCAAGATTTCATAAAAGGATCATACGACCCTTGCTCAAAAGATGTTTGATCAAGGTTGCAACAGTAAGGGCCCCATGAAAAGGTTCAAAATTATGTGGAGGGCATTTTCAAATGTGACGCATCATTGACAAGACAATTCCCTAGTTTGACTTGCACCATATGTTCCCCTGTTTACTCGCAAGAATTGGAACATATGATTGATACACGTCCTTGCTTTATGGACAAAAGGTATTTTACGTTCGACAATTGCGAGGACAGGCATCACTGTGTTTGCAACATAATGTTTCCGTAATGTGTTCAGGTGAACAATTGACTTGCCTTTGCATGTGTTTGTGACGGATGCCACTGGTGGGGCAGGACACCTGGTATCTTCATTCATAAACGCATGCTCACGACATCGTCGAAATCGTACAGTAGACTTGAATGCAGAAAGGGTTTTGTCCCTTACATTTACGATAAAACATTGATCACGTGACCAATATTTTGTTGTTATTTTCAATAACATTACATTTACACCAATTTATTTGAAGCACAGTTACTTTTTTCCGGTGGTATATAGCCACCGGTCAATAGTACAGATTTCCACCCAGTTAGAATTATTTCGTAATCGAGTATAATGTTAATAAGGAGATAAGGAGTTTTTTAAACAACGAATCAAATAGCTAGAACCATGCCCATTCTTGTTTCGTTGGTATGGAATGAATGTATGCGTTAGATTAATGTTTAACTGGATTAAACTTTTTCATGAAAACGTATATTTTTGAAGGGCACAGAGAACATCTCCAACTACGCCATATCCTTCCACTACGTGTCCCCACAGAAGATGCAAGCTCTGGAGTTTTACATCTATCACTTACGACCGTATGGCATTGTGTCCGGAACCAAGGAACTCAACAGACAAGCGGATGTGAAACCCGGATCTCAGGAGCTCAACAGACAAGTGATTGTGAAACCCGAAACTCAGGAGGTCAATAGACAAGCGGATGTGAAACCCGGAACTCAGGAGGTCAACAGACAAGCGGATGTGAAACCCGGAACTCAGGAGGTCAACAGACAAGCGGATGTGAAACCCGGATCTCAGGAGGTCAACAGACAAGCGGTTGTGAAACCCGGAACTCAGGACGTCAACAGACAAGCGGATGTGAAACCCGGAACTCAGGAGGTCAACAGACAAGCGGATGTGAAACCCGGAACTCAGGAGGTCAACAGACAAGCGGATGTGAAACCCGGAACTCAGGAGGTCAACAGACAAGCGGATGTGAAACCCGGAACTCAGGAGCTCAACAGGCAAGCGGATGTTAAACCCGGAACTCAGGAGGTTAACAGACAAGCGAATGTGAAACCCGGAACTCAGGAGGTCAACAGACAAGCGGGTGTGAAACCCGGAACTCAGGAGGTCAATAGACAAGCGGATGTGACACTCGGAACTCAGGAGGTCAACAGACAAGCGGATGTGAAACCCGGAACTCAGGAGGTCAACAGACAAGCGGATGTGAAACCCGGAACTCAGGAGGTCAACAGACAAGCGGATGTGAAACCCGGAACTCAGAAGGTCAACAGACATGCGTAGTGGCACGTGGAACTCAGGAGGTCAACAGACATGCATGGTGGCACCCGGAACACAGGAGGTTAACAGACATGCGGAGTAACAAAGAGGACGTCATGTGATTGATTTTCGATTATGTATTTTGCATATATTAGGTGTTCACAAAAATTATTACGTGGCATTGAAACAATTGATCATATATGCAGCTGGTATGATGATGTAATAAAGCCACATGATAAATCTGTATTATAAAGATAACCCAAACTGGGAGATTATCAGGTGGAACAACTGTTTTGTTAAGAAAGGATTTTGTTAAATACATGAAATGGACTAAAAATACTAAGAGGTGCATAATTTTTTTATTGGACAAGACACTATTTGGTCTTACATCAGATGTTTTATATTCCACAGTGTATATTCACCCTGAGAATTCAGCATTGTATAACCATACTGGATTAGAAAGTAAAAATGGTATTTCCCTTTTTCAAGAAGATATTCTTGATATACTGTTGGATATAGAAGGGGACGTCATACCCTTTTTCGGTGGAGATTTTAATGCCTGCACAGGCAATGACCCGGACTATGTTGAAGATGACATTATTGAACACATTCAGGGCTATGAACACAACCTTATGGACTATTTGCTTGATCATTTTCGTATCAGGCGATATTCACGTGACACTACTGTTAATAAGTTCGGCAAATGTTTGCTGTATTTGTGCTCAGTACTTACCATTCACATAATGAATGGGAGATGTGGCTCTGACTCGGATGTGGGTGATTTTACCTACGTAGGTCATAATGGGACTAGTGTCATTGATTATTTTATATATTCACCACAACTGTTTCATTGCTGTTCTGACTTAACTTCACAGATCAATGGAAGTGGCATAAACTGACATTAATGAAAGTGTGCAATATTTGGTTGAAGCATTGTGTAAGTCTTATATGTGTATGAGAAGTGTGACTTCCTCAAAAAGGAAAGATGTAGGTGCTTAAATATATTTAGGAAAACTAAAGATGCAGTATCCTTATCAATTTACAACCAGGCTAGAATAAGTATAATAGTACATGCAGAAATAAAAAAAGGGGAATACAAAGCGAGACAGCGAGAAAAACTAGAAAGTAGCATTAATGATCCAAACACGTTCCGGTCTGCTCTCAAACACTTGAATGGTAAAAGACAGGTTTATAAAAATGACATAAACATAGATACCTGGTATAAACATTTTAGAGACTTATTTTCTTTTGACAATAACAGTGAAGATTTGCAGGAAGACATCGAAATAGACAGTGGGGAGGCTAGTTTAGTAGCTGATATGTTAGATTTTCCCATTTCAAGAGAAGAAATCACTTCAAGTATACCAAGATTGAAAAAAGAAAATTCTCCTGGCATTGACAACGTAATACCCGAGTTTTTTAAGAATTCCTCAGATATAATTGTCCCATATTTAGAAGTCTTGTTTAATGCTATTTTTGAAAACTCCAATTTTCCCAAAGATTGGTCAGTGGGCATTATCATTTCTCTTCACAAACAAGGTAATGTAAATGGTACCAATAAGTACAGAGGCATCACATTATTAAGCATATTGTGTAAAATATTCTTAGATATCATTAATAGAAGATTAGTATTTTGGGCTGAATCATTTAAGAAAATAGATGAGGCACAAGCTGGTTTTAGAGAGGGGTACTCAACTATAGACAATTTTTGTGTGTTACATTCCTTAATTCAACGTTATTTATCAAGTAAAGGAGGGAAACTTTATGGGCTTTTTGTAGATTTTTCAAAAGCATCTGACTCAGTTAACCGTGATAAGTTTTGGGCCTTGCTTAAATTACGAAGGGCAAGCAGCAAGATGTTGGAACTATTATCAAGTATCTATGAACAAGTAGAGGCTTGTTTAAGAAGTAATGGTAAGTACTCAGAAGATTTTGAATGCAATGTAGGCGTTCGACAAGGATGTATATTAAGTCCTTTTCTCTTTTCTTTCTTTATTAACGAGCTGGCAGAAGAAATACAAAGCAATTGTAAAGGTGGCATTCAGCTACACCCAGATATTGTTAAAATATTTTTGCTTCTGTTTGCCGATGATGTCGTAATGATTTCGAGTACTGTACCCGGACTTCAAAGTCAGATAAATGTGCTGGAGCAATTTAGTGAACAATTTGGTTTAAGTGTTAACACAAAAAAGACCCAAGTTATTGTATTTAAAAACGGCGGAATGTTATTAAAAAGGGAGAAATCTTTGTACAAAGACAGTTATCTGGACGTAGTTACAAGCTATAAATATTTGGGAGTAAATGTTTCTATTAAATTGTCTTGGACTTTTCATTCAATACAGGCTGCAACACAAGCAAAGAAAAAAATCTCTATGCGATACTTAAACGTCTCAGACCTATTGAGAGTGTAAATTATAATCTTTTTTTTAAAAAAATTGACACAAAAATAAAGCCAATTCTACTATATGGGGCTGAGGTTTGGGGGGTACATCAGCTAGACTTGATTGAAAAGGTGCATGTACATGCATGCAAAAGATATTTAGGAGTAAAGATAAACACCTCCAATGTAGTTGTATATGATGAATGTGGTAGATTTCCATTATATATAAATGCACAAATTAAAGTCATAAAGTACTGGTTAAGGCTATTACGGATGCCAAATGATAGGTACCCTAAAAAATGTTATGAAATGATGATACTGTATGACAAAAATGGAAAGCAAAACTGGGTTTCTTCAGTTAAAAAGCTCATTAATGATTTAGGCTTTGGTTCTGCTTAGCAACGTCAAAATGTAGATTGTCGTGAACATTTTGTGAAATTGGGTACACAAAGGCTCATAGATACCTTCTTACAACAGTGGTATTGTTTGTTAGCTTTATCGTCAAAATATCAGTACTTAAGATTGTTTAAAACACATTTTATAACTGCAGAATATCTTTTGAAACCACTCTTGTACAAATATAGAATTGCATTTTCTAGATTCAGATGTTCGTCACATGAATTAAATATTGAAACGGGAAGATATTTCAAAATCCCAAAGGAAATTAGATTATGTAAAATGTGTAATCTACAGCTAATAGAGGATGAGCACCATTTTCTCATTTGTCCATTTTACCAGAATTAGAAATGATAAGATGAGTGTTCTAAACATCCACTATCCACAAAGTTATGTACTATAGGCCTATGGCATTTCAGTATTTCTGAAATAAAGATTGACTGATTGATAAATCTGTATTTACTTCACTGAGAAAAGGATAGAGAATACAATAATGACAATGGAACTTTTACACTGTCATTGCGACAGTCGTTGCATGTGGAGCCCAATCATACAGATTGGCCTGTTTCGGAGACCACATTAGAATTGAGTTGGTTGGCTAATAAAGGGAGAGCAATGTGGCAAATAACTGATACCTTTGAATTTAACAATGTCGACAAACGTCATGTAGTTTAAGAAACTGCGAGGCTTATCACGAGTTTGATGTGATGAGTTTGTTTGCCTGTTTATTTGTTCGTTTGTTTGTTTGTTGTTTAACGTCGCACTCACCAAGATTCGAGCTATATGACGACGGTCTGTAAACAATCGAGTTTGAATTTCACTGTAGGTTGCAAATGAAGTTCCGGGCATCAAATACTCAATAACACTCACAAACACATGTTTGTTAACTCCACCTTTGATATACAAAGTATGCCGCCAACGTGAGATCCTCATTAATTTACCATAACATTATTACGCCTGTGTAAATAATGGAATAAATTGGGAACCACTAAAAAATAAACACGTTCTGTTTTTGTGCCGACTTAATTTGCTCTGTCCTACGGGGATCATATTCTGAATCTCAACATACCTGGTCAACGAACTCCTTTGACGGGCTCCCCTTAAATCACTCATTCCGTCATGTGTCTTCATGATCATACTTTGTGTTCTAGTTCTTGTTCATATGACTGAGTGTGTCACGGAAATGGTGCTGCGTGACTGGGGGTATCACGGAAATAGTGCTGCGTGAATGGAGGGTGTCACGGAAATAGTGCTGCGTGACTGGAGGATGTCACGGAAAAAGTGCTGCGTGACTTGAGGGAGTCACGAAAATGGTGCTGCGTGACTGGAGGGTGTCAAGCAAATGGTGCTGCGTGACTGGAGGGTGTCACGAAAATGGTGCTGCGTGACAGGAGGGTGTCACGAAAATGGTGATGCGTGACTGGGGATGTCACGGAAATCGTACTGTGTGACTGGAGGGTGTCACAGAAATACTGCTGCGTGACTTGAGGGTGTCACGAAAATGGTGCTGCGTGACTGGAGGGAGTCACGGAAATAGTGCTGCGTGACTGGAGGGTGTCACGAAAATAGCACTGAGTGACTGGAGGATGTCACGGAAATAGTGCTGCGTGACTGGAGGGAGTCACGAAAATGGTGCTGCGTGACTGGAGGGTGTCAAGCAAATGGTGCTGCGTGACTGGAGGGTGTCACGAAAATGGTGCTGCGTGACTGGAGGGTGTCACGAACATGGTGCTGTGTGACTGGAGGGTGTCACGAAATTGGTGCTGCGTGACTGGAGGGTGTCACGGAAATATTGCTGCGTCACTGGAGGGTGTCACGGAAATAGTGCTGCGTGACTGGGGGTGTCACGGAAGTCGTACTGTGTGGCTAGAGGGTGTCACAGAAATACTGCTGCGGTACTGGAGGGTGTCACGAAAATGGTGCTGCGTGACTGGAGGGTGTCACGAAAATGGTGATGCGTGACTGGGGGATGTCACGGAAATCGTACTGTTTGACTGAAGGGTGTCACAGAAATACTGCTGCGTGACTTGAGGGTGTCACGAAAATGGTGCTGCGTGACTGGAGGGAGTCACGAACATGGTGCTTTGTGACCGGAGGGTGTCACGTAAATGGTGCTGCGCGAATGGAGGGTGTCACGAAAATGGTGCTGCGTGTCTGGAGGGTGTCACGGAAATAGTGCTGCGTGACTGGAGGGTGTCACGGAAATCGTACTGTGTGACTAGAGGGTGTCACAGAAATACTGCTGCGTGACTGGATGGTGTCACGAAAATGGTGCTGCCTGACTGGAGGGTGTCACGAAAATGGTGTTGCTTGACTGGAGGGTGTTACGGAAATGGTGGTGCGTGACTGGGGGGTGTCACGGAAATGGTGCTGCGTGACTGGGGGTGTCATGAAAAGGGTATTGCATGGCTGGAGGATGTCGTGGAAATACGACCAGAATGTTCACAGGAGTGTGTCAGCAATGTGTCTATATACAACCAGAATACTCACAGTTGTGTAAGCAACGTGTCTGTTTTCACGTAGAATATCCAGTGATGCTGCGTGACTTTAGGGTGTCACGGAAATAGTTCTGCGTGATTGGTGGGTATCACGGAAATGTTACTGCGTGATTGGAGGGTGTCACGGAAACGGTGCTGCGTGACTGGAGGGTGTCACGGAAATAGTACTGCCTGACTGGAGGGTGTCACGGAAATAGTGCTGCATAAATGGAGGGTGTCACGAAAATGGTGCTGCGTGACTGGAGGGTGTCACGGAAATAGTACTGCGTGACTGGAGGGTGTCACAGAAATAGTGCTGCGTGACCGGAGGTTGTCACGAACATTGTTGAATAAGGAAGATTAGGAACTAAACGTCATGTAATATCTGAAAAAACAAAACAAGGCGATGAAAATTTTATCTTTTGCAGGGGACGAGAAATGACGTATCCCCGTGTTATGGGGTTTCG